TGACATCAACTTTGAATTTAATCCATGATTGAAAATTCCAATTTAATTTAATCTTTGGTTAAATTCAAAGTTGGTATCAAATGATAGCTTGTGAAAATATTCGAAAAAAATGTAAGACGGTTTTGCTCAAAAGTTAACCGTTTAGGTTTTACAGCCTGTCAAATTTGCAAAAAAGTCAATTTTCAACTGTCAATATTTCCAAAACAGTTGAACTTAGGTCTAGGGTATATCATATGAAATCGGCTCAGAATTTTACGTAGAATCCGAATATTGAATAATATACAGGGTATTCAATTTAAAATAAGAAAGTTGGAGCACTACCAGCTTTTTTGAAACACTCTGTATATGCAAAAGTGAGTTTTTCAAAAAATTTAATTTCAACCATAAATTTTTTATTTGGGAGACTTTTTTTTTAAATATCAAATAAAAAAGATAGAGGGGGTGACATTTATAACCAATAACCCTGTACAACACAAGGTAGGTTCTGATTTGAAAAAAATATGTTAGGGTAGCTACATCCTAAGAGGGGAGGTGGGGTGACTCAAAAAGTGCATCATTTTGGTTCTCCCTACAATCTCCCGATGCGTATTTCAGATCTTCCTGATAGTATTTTTTGTCTCAGAGATATTCTCAATCAATTGCTACTTTTCAAATTGTTATCATCTGTATGTCCCACGGGGCCTGAATGGAAACATCACTGTCGGGCAGTTACGCCCGACGCATCATGCAATGTGGAGATTGAAGAAACCATCCAGATGCATCCATCCTGACAAAGAGGTAAGATTTATTGCCAATACCTATTTCATTGAAGAAATACTATAAGTGACAAGTGATCGAAGAAATTATCTATCAAACACATTTGTGTGCAAGCTTGGCAAAATAGTTATTTTCCTAACAAGTGCGCAAAGTGATACTTTCCCGCACGAAAAAGCAGTTAGACGAACGACGCGAAGCGGAGTTCGGATAAGCTTTGAGTGCTGGAAAGACACTTTGCGCAAGTGTTAGGAACAATATTTTTTCTACGAGTATCTCAAAAAAGTAGAATTGTTAAAATATTAGAAAAATCAATCAAATCAAAATCTTCGAAAATCGTTAAAAATCCATCGGAATTCCTCAGAATGTCTTTTAAATTAAATCCCCAAAAATATTTTAACATCTTCTGGAATTTCTAGAATACCAGCTAGAATATTTTCATGAGAGTCTCTTAAATATCAAAAATTCTACAAATTCCTAGCGGTACAGGCTGGTCCAATTTAGACACCTTTGATAAGAAACATCAGATTAACTAACCGCTAATTTCAACTAAAACCCTTCATTTTGAGTATTAGTTTATTCAGAAACCATCAAAACATTGAAAAATCCAGTATAACTTATGGTAAATATGCGTAACCAAAATGAGTGCGCAAAGAGTTTCCGTGCGCAAAGTTCAACTTTGCGCACGCAAATGAGTGCGCAAAGTGATTACTTTGCGCACGGAAGTAGAAAAATAGTATATTACATACCGAGGTGGAAAGTGTTTCATTACAGTCGAGACATTTTAGTTAGACCGAGGCGCAACCGAGGTCTAACTAAAATCTCGAGACAGTAATGAAACTTTTTACCGAGGTATGTATCAGAGCTGTCACAAATACTGGTAAATAGTATTTCAAATAGCAAGTATCAATTACGGGAAATTCATGTGGCAAGTACAAATACTAAATACTTTCAATTTGAAAAGTACCTACTTCAAGTTTCAAGTACTTTAATTAAGTACTTGATTTTTTCAAGTGAAATAATTTAAATACTCATATAATATTTGAAATACCTATATGTATTTGAAATAACAAGAAGTACTTCAAGTATCCACTAAAAAGGAATTCAAATTATTCAATGATTTTTTTTAAATTGTATTGAAAACTGAAAATACTTCTAATGCCTCAAAAAAGTCTCTATAGTACTTTTTTCCAGATTCCAAGATTCCAGTTTCAGATTGTAGTTACTTTCAATTTAACCATTTAACATTTATCTAGAAAAAGTTGATTACGAAATAACGTGTAGTAGGATTGTTTTAAGATACCTATTTAATCAGGATAATGAACTTTTACAAAAAATAATAAACAACTAAATAAATATTCTCGTAGGGGCCGGTTTCTCAATAGCGAATCACCTCTGGGTTGGTTTTAACTCCAGGATAAGCGTGTCCAGTTGGCATCTAAGCATTCCGTATATGTATTTGGCACCTAGGTCTTTTCTATTGGTTCGGTGCGCTATGCGGTGGTTTTTCAACCAAAGTGCCAAATAATTTTTTCTGAGATTGTAGCTCTCATTGAGTACTTCAATACCTCATTTAGAAAATATTTTTATCATTTGTGGTTTCTGAGTTATTTGATCTTGAAGTTTTTGGTAAAATTTCAATCAAATTCCAGCTTTGAAGCCCAATTTCTCAAAGCCTGTAGAAGCAAATGATTTAGTTTTTGGAGGTTTTATAGAGAATTTAATCCTTTTTCAGAAAATCTATAATTCAAGTTGATTCGTTGAGAATTATCAATACTGTGAGCAAGTTTGTGAGACCATGTCAGATTTTAAGAAAATTTCTGAGGACAAAATTAAGATTTGCTTTTCAATTTTTTTTCTCATGAAATCACCCTCCTGAAAATAACCTAGGATTTGTTTTCGACTAATTTTGGCCTCCTCTTTCGATTGGAAAAGTTCAATTTTAGAAAAATGAAAAATTTTAAAATTTTGATTTTTCAGGCTTTAGCCTGTTTGGATTTTTTATTCAAAATCTTCCATTGACAATATCTCAGTAAATATAAACAGTATCAAGTCAATTTTTTCTGAGATTGTAGCTCTCATTGAGTACTTCAATACCTCATTTAGAAAATATTTTTATCACTTGTGGTTTCTGAGTTATTTGATCTTGAAGTTTTTGGTAAAATTTCAATCAAATTCCAACTTTAAAGCCCAATTTCTAAAAGCCTGTAGAAGCAAGTGATTTAGGTTTCGGAGGTTTTACAGAGAATTTAATCCTTTTTCAGAAAATCTATAATTCAAGTTGATTCGTTGAGAATTGTCAAAACTGTGAGCAAGTTTGTTAGACCATGTCAGATTTTAAGAAAATTTCTGAGGATAAAATTGAGATTTGCTTTTCAATTTTTTTTCTCATGAAATCATCCTCCTGAAAATAACCTAGGATTTGTTTTCGTCTAATTTTGACCTCCTCTTTCGATTGGAAAAGTTCAATTTTAGAAAAATTAAAAATTTTAAAATTTTGATTTTTCAGGCTATTTGGATTTTTTATTCAAAATCTTCCATTGACAATATCTCAGTAAATATAAACAGTATCAAGTCAATTTTGTCTGAGATTGTAGCTCTCATTGAGTACTTCAATACCTCATTTAGAAAATATTTTTATCATTTGTGGTTTCTGAGTTATTTGATCTTGAAGTTTTTGGTAAAATTTCAATCAAATTCCAGCTTTGAAGCCCAATTTCTCAGAGCCTGTAGAAGCAAATGATTTAGTTTTTGGAGGTTTTATAGAGAATTTAATCCTTTTTCAGAAAATCTATAATTCAAGTTGATTCGTTGAGAATTATCAAAACTGTGAGCAAGTTTGTGAGACCATGTCAGATTTTGAGAAAATTTCTGAGGACAAAATTGAGATTTGCTTTTCAATTTTTTTTCTCATGAAATCACCCTCCTGAAAATAACCTAGGATTTGTTTTCGACTAATTTTGGCCTCCTCTTTCGATTGGAAAAGTTCAATTTTAGAAAAATTAAAAATTTTAAAATTTTGATTTTTCAGGCTTTACCCTGTTTGGATTTTTTATTCAAAATCTTCCATTGACAATATCTCAGTAAATATAAACAGTATCAAGTCAATTTTTTCTGAGATTGTAGCTCTCATTGAGTACTTCAATACCTCATTTAGAAAATATTTTTATCACTTGTGGTTTCTGAGTTATTTCATCTTGAAGTTTTTGATAAAATTTCAATCAAATTTTAACTTTGAAGCCTAATTTCTCAAAGCCTGTAAAAGCAATTGATTCAGTTTTATAGAGAATTTTATCCTCTTTCCGAAAATCTACAATTCAAGTAGATTGGTTGAGAATTACCAAAACTATGAGCAAATTTGTGAGACCATGTCAGATTTTAAGAAAACTTCTGAGGCAAAACTTGAAATTTACTACAATCTCAGAAAAATTTATACTGGTATCCTTTGCATATTGAGAAATTTCCAGTTCGAATTTTCTTTTATTGTTATTTTCAAGACTCTCCGGGGAGTGGGAATCATCCAGTTCGAAAAAATCGTCAGTCATATCTGCTGATGTAGCATTTTTACTTGCTAGAACATGTTAGTTTCACATTTGGTGAAGTATTTGAATAACTTTCTGGGGTATTTGAAATATTTTAAGTATTTGAAGTACAAATGGTATTTGAATTACTTTTGTTGTGAATCCAAATACCAAATACAAATACTTTATTTGGAGTATTTGCAGAATCAAGTACAAATATCCAAAAACAAAAGTATTTGAATTATAGTACTTCAAATACTGACAAGTAATTGGAATACATTTTCCAAGTAATTTACTTGAAGTACTGACAGCTCTGGTATGTATACTATTTTACTTACAATCACGCGAATTTTGTAATTTTTATTTTCATGAAAACTAAAAAAATACAATAAATTTTAACAATTTCACTTACTTTCGGCCCACGGGAGGAAAGTAAACTTTCGACCCGTGGGTAGAAAGTAAAAGTCAAAAAATACAATAAAATTTGACAATTTCATTTACTTTGGGCCCACGAGATGAAAGTAAACTTTCGACCAGTGGGTGGAAAGTAGAAGTTGAAAAAGTGACATTTTCAAACTTTTTAAAAGTTAGAAAAGTCAACATTACATGTATGATTGTAAATAAAACTGTAAATCAACTCAATAGTTTAATCATATCTTGGCTTGCTCAGTTATTTGCAAAAAAATTGTGCATTTACACAAAAATAAAATGGCGATAATATTAGTTTTGATACATGGCTCCATCCAGCCAAATCCCGACAAAAGGATTAAAAATAATAAATTTAACGCTGGTATATTTGTGAGGGACATTTGTAATAGCTGTTCAAAAATTATTGCACTCCAGCTCTGCAAGTGAATTTGTATTTTTATTTCATGGTATTTTATGCATTGCGTGTTTTATCCCGGAAATAAATTTGGCACCGGCCTAATAACCATAATTTGGTTTCGTGATTTGATTATTTCCATTAAATTATTGTCTATCTGGTTAGCATAGGATTTATTTTGGCTTCAAAAATGTTCATCCCCCCCTACGCGATGGGGTTAATATGTGTTCCTATGAGGTAATAAAGCTTTTATTTCGCCAAATCCAGACAGTTTCGAACGTCTGGAAAGATTTATGGGGGTTATGCGAAACGGTGCGCAGGCAATGTATCATAATATAAAGTTAGCATTGTCAATTTTGCAAAGCTCTACTTGAAAGGCGCTAAACCGTTTTGTTGGATTCTAAAAACGGATTTTTACAATTCTTATGCTAAGGGAGAAAAATACATTTTATCTTTAATTAAAATAGTTGCATGTATATTATAAATTATTCTCACAAGATATAGGTAGACAAATACTAATAAATATAGATTGAGACCAAAAATATGACACATATTCTATTTAAAACCTGCTTCAAAAGTTAAATATTAAAAAAAAAAACAACATAAGCGCATGGTAAACTAAATAAAGTGATTCTAAAATTCAAGAGACAAAAAAAAAACATTCCAGTCTTATACTTATAGAAAAATAAATCAGAAAAGCTTTTAAATTACAGTTTAACCTAATGTATATGACACACCAATAATTGAAGTGCAATAAACTTTGCACATTTGGCACTAAATTTCTAAAACACCGAGGTCAGATTGTAAAAAACACAAAATCTATAGAAAGTTTAGTGGAAATTTTTGATCAGTTGGCTTTTTTAAAAAGGCGAGTTCATTCCAAGCTTAGTCCCAAAATCAAGTCTGGCTCGTTTTAGGAACCGGTCATTAGCCCTGTAACAAAACATCTCAACATTCATATACATACGAGAAATAACAAACTTACATGTTTTCTTGTTTTTTTACTAATTCATTAATTAAAAATATCCCTAAAGGCGACAAAGATCCAAATAATATTACCCAAAGAGGTATTGGGAATTGGGTTTCATGATCCTCGCTACCAATCAATCCCCTGTAGCTTATTATAGTGTATATGCTTTGAAACGAAACCCTTGAAAATCAATTAATTGCATTAAAAATTTGAGAAAAAATCAAGCATCACTCACAAACAAAATATTGTCCCAATCCACATTAAATTACTATGAGGCCATTTTCGATAAATCGAACTATCCCTATGAACAAATCCTATGGATATAGTAACTAAAAACAAACACTGTAATCTAATAAATGCAATAGTCAAACTGATTACCAAAATGCAACAAAACAATAAAAATCACAATCAGTCTAGAAGTCATCAAAGTCCAACTTCCTTCCTCAAAACCTCCCACATTGTCGCCACTTGTTATATTGGAAAAAGTTGGATTATAGAAAAAGACGCATCTAAAAGAAATAAGCACACAAATAAATACAAACTGGTTGAATACTAGAGTTCTTACCTACAAGGACCCTGCTCTGTAAATGGATCTGAACACATTTGATCACAATGACTGGCCAAAACACCAGCATAACACACTAAAACTGTAAATACGGTGGGAAGGAATTTAATACCGTAACACCACAAAATAAAAAAGGTAGCCTGAAAAACTCTACCTCAAAAAAAATAGTTTCATTTAGGCTAAAAGTTCCCTTACGTCCCACCGAAGGGCAGCCTGTATCTTTCCCTGTGGTTTTTTCATAACATCTGGATCAATGGGAGTCATTGATAAAGCGATACTAATAGCTGGAGCAACTATACCAGCTAGCCACAAATTATGGCCTGTGGTCATTAGTTCTGGTAGCATGAAAACAACCGCGGCTACTTGCATTATGCTTAGAACTACACAGCAACAAAGCCAATATTGGACTGGGAAAAGTATAATAGTTAAGTGTTTGGGAATAGGTTTATATGAGGGTCAAAATCACGAGCATTCATTTATATTTAATCAATGGTTGGTTGGCATAGTCCTCAGGGTTTGATTATTGAAGCTTTGAAACAAATGTTGAAACCTGGATTCTTTTGCTTTAGTTTTTGACTGAAAAAATTGTTTATAAAGTCTTACTTTACAAAACATCATTATTTTTAAAAAATCGTAACTCCATTAATAATAACTCAATCGCTTTGAGTTTTTGGTATTTTTTACATTGAGTGATTAGGAAAGTCATAAAAAATTTCAACTTTCCACTCACTTTAGTTTTTGAGTGAAAAAATTGTTTGTAAAGTCTTATTATACAAAACATCATTATTTTCAAAAAATCGTAACTCCATTAATAATAACTCGATGGCTTTGAGTTTTTGGTATTTTTTGCATTGCGTCATTAGGAAAAAGTCCTCAAAATTTCAACTTTCCACTCACTTTAGTTTTTGAGTGAAAAAATTGTTTGTAAAGTCTTATTTTACAAAACATCATTATTATCAAAAAATCGTAACTCCATTAATAATAACTCAATCGCTTTGAGTTTTTGGTATTTTTTACATTGAATCATTAGGAAACAGTCCTCAAAATTTCAACTTTCCACTCACTTTAGTTTTTGAGTGAAAAAATTGTTTGTAAAGTATTATTTTACAAAACATCATTATTTTCAAAAAATCGTAACTCCATTAATTATAACTCAATCGCTTTAAGTTTTTGGTATTTTTTACATTTAATCATTAGGAAAAAGTCCTCAAAATTTCAACTTTCCACTCATTTTAGTTTTTGAGTGAAAAAATTGTTTGTAAAGTCTTACTTTACGAAACATCATTATTTTCAAAAAATCGTGACTCCATTAATAATAACTCAATCGCTTTGAATTTTTGGTATTTTTTACAATAAATCATTAGGAAAAAGTCCTCAAAATTTCAACTTTCCACTCACTTTAGTTTTTGACTGAAAAAATTGTTTGTAAAGTCTTACTTTACAAAACATCATTATTTTCAAAAAATCATAACTCCATTAATAATAACTCAATCGCTTTGAGTTTTTAGTATTTTCCACATTGAATCATTAGGAAGAAGTCCTCAAAATTTCAACTTTCCACTATCTTTTGTTTTTGAGTGAAAAAATTGTTTGTAAAGTCTTACTTTTATTTTCAAAAAATCGTAACTCCATTAATAATAACTTAATCGCTATGAGTTTTTAGTATTTTCCACATTGAATCATTAAGAAAAAGTCCTCAAAATTTCAACATTCCACTCACTTTAGTTTTTGAGTGGAAAAATTGTTTGTAAAATCTTACTTTACAAAACATCATTATTTTCAAAAAATCGTAACTTCATTAATAATAACTCAATCGCCTCGAGTTTTGGTTGGAGAGAGCTAGATTGAATTTTGTGCATTACATGTGACTTATAATAGTGAAAACAAGGATATAACAATTATAAGGTAGTTGTGAAAAATTTCCCAGACTCAATGACACGATAAAACCACCATTAAATACCAAATAAGTGTGATTTCAACCCCCATACATTGAAGAAATTTGTCTGTTCTAGGTACCTGAACTCCACAAAGTAGAAGCGAAATTTCTAGCCTCCATCACTAAATGGTAAATCGATATTGGATCAGACCGTTTCACAGTCAAGGAGCAAGCGATTGAGTTCAAAAGACAAGATAAATCAGTTGGGCTAAAGCCCTCAAGTTTCTTAAATACTTCCATTTTTTGACAAACTTGCGGGTATAAAGGTTCCACTGAAATCGATGCATCTGCTTGCATAAAAATTCCCGCATTATCGCTATTTTGTGAAGATCCTAGAATGCAAACAACCTCATGATAATCTTGCATTATCCGTAACATTTCTCTAGTAGCAGTTGGTGTGCAGTCAGTAAATAGGGACACTAAAAGTGGCACATTATCTATGAGCTCAATATGAGGCCGGATTTTGTCTATGCCCCTTGGCAGTTTAGCCTGAAACCATCATTAAAATAAATATTGTACATCACTAATAATCCTCTTACTCTATTGCTCATATCAAAATTTATTGGGGCACTTTGTTCAGTACTGTCAGTCAAACAGCTCAAAGATTGCCAATCGTGCGTAGTACTCTCAGCACGTACTGGCATACTGTCTTGGCTGGTGATCTCGTCATGGTTTTCACTCTGACGTCGAGCCACATGAAATTTTTCCACTTCTGTGTCAAATTTAACAACGCAATGGTCCAAATTTATGGCACTCGGCGCTGAGAAACTCATTGTACGGGAAGATTCAAGATTACTAAAATATTTAATATTTGAATAATATGACAATGTAATAATAATCATTATTGCCAAAATTATTTAAACACCAAAAAAAGCGCACAAGATTTTTCTTTTTAAAGCCACAAAAACTACAGCTGGATTATTTTATACCTATCTAACAGGAACACCTTGTCTTGACGTTCCTTGCTGCGCCCCCTAAATGTATTGCTTGGAGATGATTCCAGACTAATAGGCTGTGTGGTGCTTTCCGTCCTAAACACCCATTCATACACCAATAGACAGATAGAGAGTACAGAGAGCCAATAACAGAGCAAAAAGGATAGAAAACACTGGGTTAGTTTTGGGTTAGAATATTTCAAGTTACTTTTATAATAAAAATAAATAAATGGGTCATAGGTTATTAGTATCATAGTGTTTCATGCATGGCAGTGTATGAAATTCTAACATAAAAATCCCATGATAAATCAGAACCAATAAATAAAATGTGAATGCAAATAAACTAAAATTAACTTTTCATGCAGTGCAGCAAATAATAAATCAGCAAAACTTAAAAATCTACCTGTTTCTATCACTTAACAAAGAAATATGACAATTCCAACCACTCTCCAGGCCCATTTTCTCACTGAAAACCCTGGATCTCAACTCGTTTTCTTTGCTAAAATGCACAAACCTTATACAGGCCCTTTCTAATTGCTCTATTAATTGAACCTTGAATAAAAATGTATTATTTTCAATGCCTTAATGCATTAGAATATTAATTTACCATATCAGTGAGCACTTGATATTGCATAGTCACCATACCAATAAAAATTTGGTTGCATTGCATTTGAAAACAGCTTTCCGCATCTGATATATTGTTGCTCACAGGATAATCATTGTATAAAAGAGAATCTAGAGTTTTTGTATTAGTTTTGGATGATTTATAAATTAAAATCTTTGTTACCTGTGCTATAAAATTGCGCATTTTTAATTTTAGGCTCCAAAACGCTTTTGCAATCCCAATGCACTGGGGTCGGGCTTCTATGACTCATGTAAAGGTGCCTACAGTCACTGGGAAGCTCCAAATAAACTTCACTCAATTTGTCACTGACTGATTTTGATAAAGGCCTGAGAAGAAAATAATTATAGTGTTGAAAGATTGGTATAAAAAAAAAGCAGAATCCTACCTATAAGCAAAAGCAGTACAATAAGCTGTCAAACTACTCCTCTGATAAAAATCCTGAATCTTTTTCCTATCAGAGTGGGTCAAAGGGCACAAATCTAATCCATCCCAATAATCCACGCAACAATCCAAAATAATATCTGCTGTACCCTCACTATAATAATTTTTTTAGAAAAATGAATACCTATACTAATATTTCCTGACCTCAACAATTGCATATTTCCACTGCACAATTCCCTAACAACCACTGCAAATGCATGGGGAAATGGAAATTTCAATCTTGTAGATAATTGCAGGGCCTTGGCATATTTATTATCACGTCTGACCATTTCCGGTTGCTAATAAACACAATTTTTAAAACCATACTAAACCATTACCAAGCCTCTTACCAAATGCCTAAACACTGACAACTTCTGTTCCAATTGAAAAATCTTCTCAGCCTGATCCATAAAGCCTATCTCTTTAGCCAACTCACACAGACACCGTCTATTAGTCACAGGAACTAAATTCTCATTGTACATGGCCTCACAGCTAATGTGAGAGCAGAAATTCGAATAACGTTCCTGGGTATCAATGTGACAAGTGTTTAGCAATATGGCCAACCCGAGAGGTTTTAATGAAGGCAGAAACTTTTGCCAATTTTGATCGTCAAAGCCCAGCCCAAATGGGTCAGTGTGATTGTGGGTCAAGTCAAGAACTTCAGCTGTGGCTGAAATGGGGCTGTCAGCACCAAAGTGGAGGTTGCCTAAAGGTTCTGATTGGTCATTACTTATATCATTTACATTGTCTAAGCTAAAAGGATGCTAAGTATGTAAAATTTATGATAACAAAAGTGCTTATTTACCTTGTTTCAGAACCTTCAGAGTCATTTTCTCTGTTATGTAAAAAGAAGACTTTTTCTGCTGTGGGATTGGGCCAAGATAAAATACCTTTTTTATCTACACAACCTAAAGCCTGAAATTTAAATTCAATAAAAAAACTCAACATTAAAAAATTCTTACTGTAACTGATCCTAATACATGTAAAATATTGGCAGATCTGCACAAAATATCCGATTCTCCTTTACAAATTTGCACAAAATTCTTATACATTTCCTTATAACTGAAATCAATATTTTCTGCAAACTCTGTATGAGTATCAGTGTCCTCTTCCAAAGGATTAAATTTGTTTTCGAACATTGTGGTGGCATCAAAAATTGTTTTAAACCTGGCCATACCAATGTAATTTGATATGTTCCAAACTAAAGGAAACACTATAGGAAGTAAAGGTAAAATAGCATTACTAGGACTGATAAAGAACATATTGGCTAACGAGTAATGACCCAGGTATTGTTGAAAGTAAAAATACCTAAAAAAAATATTTTATAGAATAAAGGGTTAGTTGGTGAATAATAAATTACCTGAAGACATTAGCTACAAAAACTAGAACAAACATTGTTGGCAAAACGATACATTCTATTACTCTTACCATTACAAAATGCCTTTGCTGATTATGTTGGGTAATGGGTCTGTCTAGTGCTTCTTCTAGGGACAGTTTCAGGTTGTATAAATAGGGCGTTTCAAGGAGTCTACATAAAAAAATGATATAATTTTCTAATACAAAAATCCTAGGGGTAAACCGCAGGGGAATTTTGGTCTACAGTCTTCAGGAATTAGTAAGAAATTAGAGGAATTAGAGGGGAATTAGAGAAATTACTGGGAAATTATGGGAATTAGTTAGGAAATTTGGGGAATTAATCGGGGAAACCAAATCAGTCAACGTCGCATCACATAGAACTGCTAGGAATCCAGTGTATCCAATGAAACATAAATGGATTTTGGGAAAATTTGAAACTTTGGGAAAATGAGCTTCTCACCTTCCTCTTCACATGCACAAAGTTTCAAAATTTTCTCTTTACCAGTTTTCCAGAAAAACTTTGAAATGTGTGAGACTGTATTTTCAAATAATTCAGTTTTTTTAGGTTGATTTCCAAGATTTTTCATGTTGCTGTTTTCCACTGGAAAAATTTGAAAATTTGGGAAAATAAGCTTCTCACCTTCCTCTTTACATGTAAAAAAGTTTCAAAATTTTCCCTTCAGTAGTTTTACAGGAACACTTTGAAATGTGTGAGGGTGTATTTTCAACTAATTCAGTTTTTGTAGGTTGATTTCCAAGATTTTTCATGTTGCTGTTTTCTACTGGAAAAATTTGAAATTTTGGGGAAATAAGCTTCTCAGCTTCCTCTTTCCAAGCAAAAAGTTCAAAATTTTCCCTTCACTAGTTTTCTAGGAAAACTTTGAAATATGTGAGACTGTATTTTCAATTAATTCAGTTATTGTAGGTTGATTTTCAAGATTCCTCATGTAATTTTCTACTGGAAAAATTTGAAATTTTGGGAAAATGATTTTCTCACCTTCCTCTTTACTGCAAAAAGTTTCAAAATTTTCTCTAATTTTCCCTTCACTAGTTTTCCAGGAAAACTTTGAAATGTGTGAGACTTTATTTTGAACTAATTCAGTTTTTGTAGGTTGATTTCCAAGATTTTTATGTTACTGTTTTTCACTGGAAAAATTTGAAACTTTGGGAAAATGACCTTCTCACCTTCCTCTTTATATCCAAAAAGTTTCAAAATTTTCTCTTTACAAGTTTTCCAGGAAAACTTTGAATTGTGTGAGACTGTATTTTCAAATAATTCAGTTTTTGTAGGTCGACTTCCAAGTTTTTTCATGTTGCTGTTTTCCGCTGGAAAAATTTGAATTTTTGGGAAAATGAGCTTCTCACCTTCCTCTTTACATGCAAAAAAGTTTCAAAATTTTCCCTTTAGTAGTTTTACAGGAAAACTTTCAAAAGTGTGAGAGTGTATTTTCAACTAATTCAGTATTTGTAGGTTGATTTCCAAGATTTTTCATGTTGCTGTTTTCTACTGGAAAAATTAGAAATTTTGGGGAAATAAGCTTCTCAGCTTTCTCTTTACATGCAAAAAGTTTCAAAATTGTCCCTTCACTAGTTGAATTTTGGGGAAAATGACCTCACCTTCCTCTTTACATGCAAAAAATTTTCGAAATTTTCCCTTTAGTAGTTTTACAGGAAAACTTTCAAAAGTGTGAGAGTGTATTTTCAACTAATTCAGTTATTGTAGGTTGATTTTCAAGATTCCTCATGTTGTAATTTTCTATTGGAGAAATTTGAAATTCTGGGAAAATGAGCTTCTAACCTTTCTCTTTACATGCAAAAAGTTTAAAATTTCTCCCTCCACTAGTTTTCCAGTTAAAATGTGTGAGACTGTATTTTGAACTAATTCAGTTTTTGTAGGTTTCATTGGAAAAATTTGAAACATTGGGAAAATGAGCTTCTCACCTTCCTCTTTACATGCAAAAAGTTTCAAAATTTTCTCTTTACTAGTTTTCCAGGAAAACTATGAAATGTGTGAGACTGTATTTTCAACTAATTCAGTTTTTGTAGGTTTCCTTGGAAAAATTTGAAACTTTGGGAAAATGAGCTTCTCACCTTCCTCTTTACATGCAAAAAGTTTCAAAATTTTCTCTTTACTAGTTTTCCAGGAAAACTTTAAAATGTGTAAGACTGTATTTTCAACTAATTCAGTTTTTGTAGGTTTCCTTGGAAAAATTTGAAACTTTGGGAAAATGAGCTTCTCACCTTCCTCTTTACATGCAAAAAGTTTCAAAATTTTCTCTTTACTAGTTTTCCAGGAAAACTATGAAATGTGTGAGACTGTATTTTCAACTAATTCAGTTTTTGTAGGTTTCATTGGAAAAATTTGAAACTTTGGGAAAATGAGCTTCTCACCTTCCTCTTTACGTGCAAAAAGTTTCAAAATTTTCTCTTTACTAGTTTTCCAGGAAAACAAAATGTGCGAGACGGTATTTTCAACTAATTCAGTTTTTGTAAATTGATTTCCAAGATTTTTCATGTAACTGTTTTCCACTGGAAAAATTTGAAATTTTGGGAAAATGAGCTTCTGACCTTCCTCTCTACATGCAAAAAAGTTTCAAAATTTTCTCTTCAGTAGTTTTACAGGAAAACTTTGAAATGTGTGAGAGTGTATTTTCAACTAATTCAGTTTTTGTAGGTTGATTTCCAAGATTCCTCATGTTGTAATTTTCTATTGGAGAAATTTGAAATTCTGGGAAAATGAGCTTCTAACCTTTCTTTTTACATGCAAAAAGTTTAAAATTTCTACCTTCACTAGTTTTCCAGGAAAACTTTAAAATGTGTGAGACTGTATTTTCAACTAATTCAGTTTTTGTAGGTTGATTTCCAAGATTCCTCATGTTGTAATTTTTTACTGGAGAAATTTGAAATTCTGGGAAAATGAGCTTCTAATCTTTCTCTTTACATGCAAATAGTTTCAAAATTTTCCCTTTTTTTAGAGGAATTTGTGGGGTATTTGAAGAAGTTCATGCTGGGGTATTTGGAGGAATTTGTGATGGGGTTTCTGGCTGGAGGATTTTGCAGGAATTATGCGTAAAAAATTCCCCTTTGAGGAATAGTTTGCACCAATTCTGGGATGATGGTTTACTCCTTGGTACTGACCTATTAAAAAGATTTATAGGCAGTACAAGGCGAGGTACAAGGAGAACACGTCGGAAAACATTGGAAAAATCACCTTCCAAAAATTTCTCTTGACTATGAAAAGTACTAAACCACCAACTAAACAGAAACTACGCATATAATTTTCTTATTTTTTTTTCCCGAGTTTTCTACATACTTCTTTATTTTAACAAGTAGGTAATAGTGCAAACATCTAAATATTCTTGATTTATTCTACACCATTTTGAGACCAAATTTTTGTGATAGATTTGGTGAATTAGTAGGGAATTACATAGTAAAATTAGGGGAATTAATTTGGGAATTAAAAATATCAGGTAAATTAGAAGGGAATTAGGTACCATTAGTGTACACATTTTTCTCAGCAATTTACCCCTCGAAAAAATCTAACCTGTATTTTTTAGCATCCAATGGTTTCCTAGATTTAGGCGCACTAAAGATTTCATTAGCATTTTGTATACTAGGAGCAAATATTTCTTTATTGTGTAAAAGATGATATTCTGATTGTTTATCCAATGCTTCACAATAGCCCGGACTAGCTTGTCCAGGCCTAACTAAAATAATGTCATCTTTAACTAAAAGCGCCCAAGGTAGATTTACAAGCTTGCCATCCCTGTAAGTCCATTGCAATGTAATGCAAGGTGAAAATGGTGTGTACAAATTGGGATAATTTTCAGGTTTCCAATCAATATAATTCATTTCCTTTTTCATTTTGTCGAGTACCATTTGAACCCTATTAGGAACCTAAGTAAAACAAATTAGGTGGGTATGAGTGATTTTTTGCATTACTACCTCATCATGCCTCAATTTATTGTCATAAAGCTCTGTAGCCAGATTAACAATAAGAAGTATAATAATTATAAATGCCTCTTCCAATTCCACATTATCGCCGTCCAGTAAGTAACCTAGGATCAAGGCTAATGAGGCCCATAATTGGAAAGAAGCTGAGATCCAGTTGATGGTTGTGTGTTTGCTTTTTGCGCTTAGGGTGTCTTTTATCCATGCCAAATTTTTAGTTTTTCTGTGAGTCGACATAAAGATAATGAGGTCTTATTTGAGAAAAAAATGCAAATTCTACCCCTTAAAATATTCAAGTGTGAGAATTTGAAATCCTCCTAATGTAGGTACAAGATTTTAAGACAGAGTTGTTAAAGCTATGAAATAGCCTATCAATGAGCTATTCTAGTTGGTTTTCAATATCTGGCTGCTCTATAAGGGCTAGAATTTGCTGTGAGATGATATTTTGTATAGAAATATTGAAAATAAAGTAAAAATTTACCTATTTTTTTGAGATAGTTTGAACTGTAACAAAACTGATTCTACCTCGATGTAGAGTTTGTTTAAGGCATCTCGTGTGTTTAGGCCTCGTTCGTCTTGGGTTGTTTGCTCCATTTTGCCATTTTTCACTTAAATTTCACTAGAAATCCACAACTTTTTTCAAAAATAAGCTTGGGAAGAAAACAGCCTATTTTTTGAGGTTAGAAACATTATGTAAAAACTAAAAATGACAGAAATAAACTTATTACTTGAAGTAGAAAGAGAACGTATGATTGTGGTATATATTTCGTAAAAGTAGAATCAAGAATGCTTAAAAACAATGAACAACAAAACTATTGTATGAGCGGCTATTAATAAATACAAAATAATAAACAATAAATACATACAAAATTGTAAAGAAGGCGAATAAATTGTATAAATTAAAAACATTTTGACAATGATGAATTTCAACATGACGGCGAGTCCACTGACTAGTCAAAATAGGGCAATCCAGCTAAAGCTTAATTCCCACTTGTGCGAATTTCGCTCTATTTTGACATTGCTTCGACAATTTGATGATGATACACACATGATACACGCATAAAACGACAAATAGTTGAAGTAATGTCAAAGAAAGACGGAATTTCGCGCAAAAAGAGCGAATTTCGCGCTGTTATGAGTACTAGACTTAAAACGTTTGATTGTCGAAGCAATGTCAAAACAAGAGGTAATTTCGCGCAAGTGAGAATAAGGGAGGATTTTCATGCATCCGTTTTTCCGACGAAATATGTCCGTTTAACATTCTATTCTGACATAATCGTATATAAATATGTCAAAATAGAAGACTTTTCGGACATATTTCGACGGAAAAACGGATGCATGAAAATCCTCCCTAAAGCATTATACTCCACGCGTTTTGCACTCGAACGGTTGAAACCGAACGGGTCAAATTGTAGCCGGAGTACTTCGGAGTAACTCGGGAGCGTTCAAAGGGCATCCGAAAGCAGCTAAGCGCACATAATACATGCACTTCTCACTGCCATTGAACTTGCGTCGTAATTCATGACATTTGACATTTACCGCAACGCCCCAATACGAAATAGCGCAATGACCCAAATAAGAAATAGCGCACTCGAGTGCACTCCAAATGATGACGTCAGAACACTCTGACAAACAACAACTTTACCTTAACACTCCATTTCTAAACGCACTCCTGCTAATAGTGGTGACGTCACCCGCAGACCTTGATGGAATGCTTGCGATTCAGCGTTTCACATCTGTGTGGTAGCTGGTCACGTTATTACGGTTCCGGTTCAGCACGCTCTGTTCTTCGAGCAAAATACCGAACGCAAGCGAAATTGAGCTGGAAGATTATGACAACTGACGTCTGACATGCCCGTTGCCCATGAATTAAGGTTATGTATGTATGTTTTGATTTCTTTACCACAACACAAACTAAAGGGAATTTTTATGTTCATCAAGAAATAATGTGAATTTTATGGGAAAAATCAAATCACAAAACTGAGAATTACTTTTAAAATCGGCGTTCTTTGCAGTGTATACTTGTTTCATTTTTTTTATACATGTATAAAGTGAGATGGAGGAAAAACCAGCTACGCTGCCAGCAAGAAAAACTTTCAAAATACTGTAAGCATTATCATATTATTGAAATATTTCTTCATAAAAAACATAGTCGCTAATCTGTTTAAATAAATGGTATTCATAAATTAACAAACATATAAATCTAGGTGTACCCAATATCCAGCAATTTTTGATGAGGACAGACCCCTATGCCGAAACTATTTTCGACAATTCGGCAAAGTGTTGCGCCTAGTCAACAAAGAGAAAAAACGAGAAATTGTCGTGGAATACCCCAACGAAAATTCCTATCTAAATGCACTAACAGGGCCCAGTGAATATGATGGACAATCTTTTAAAGTTGAACCTGTAAGTCAAAAATCCACTATTTAGCTTTGAAACTGATAAGGGTAAAGGGTAGTACCACACAATGTAAACATAGAACTCTTTAATTGGTAATTTTTGGGCTTGGGAACGGGCTATAGGGCGTTTTCTGATTAGGGATGTAAAATGACAGTCAATTATTTTTTGTGATACGTGACAGTAATTTTTTTGTCATTTTTGTCATTTATTGTCATTTTTGGTCATTTATCTTCAATCTAAAAAATAAACTCTGAACATAACAACTTAAATGAATAATCGGATATCTGATTGGTTGACTAAAGCTCTTCTTCAGTTTCACAGTCATCAGCATCAAAGTCATCTAATGAGTTAGAAAGAACAGCTTCCATCTTCTCCATTAGTTTGACAGTAAAAATCGAAAGTCAGCTGATATTTTTGTGACACTTTAATATATTTCAATGACGGTCATATATTTTAATGACGATCAGTTAATAATTTGACAGTCAGAAAATTCAATCGATAAAAAAATAAATGACAGGAGTGTCATGAATATAAATGACGTGACCGTCATTTTCATTCTGACTGTGACATGGCATTGTCAGAAAAATTGGCTTACATCCCTATTTCTGATCAAGTTCATTTTTGATACACATATATAGGACGTCAAAAGAAATTTTTCCAAATAAAATTTGACCTTGACTGTGACCTTGATGCTGACCTTGACCATCAAATTCACGTAAATGGCAGTTTAACGTGCTGAAAACTTGTATAGTGTTGAAAGGCATCTCAAGTAACCTATATACTGAGTTTTATCCTTCAAGGTCATACAAATTCAGAGATACGGCAACTCCGCATTCTCAGTTTGGGCTCTCGGGAACAGGGTAGAAGGCTTAGTCCGATTGAGTTCATTTCTGGTATACATATTTAGGCCGTAAAAGGTAACAGTTCAGTAAAGGTCCTTCAAAAAAAATATCATGCTTCTTCATTAAAGATAGTTTAGTTTGATCCCAAAATATTGTTTTATGATCGAAAATGTTGGCGCAAATAACTATAAATTGGATTTTATAAATTTGAATGAATCCTCTTCTCGACCTTTGACACAGATCAATATATTATATCTATTCTTATCAGCTTAATATCACAATCGCTCTGTTTAGCATATAGAAATTTAATAAACGTTAAACGCATCATGTGGTAGATATTCGAATGAAGAGAAGAGCTAAGTGTTTGAAAAAAAACATTATTGAGTAATGATAAAGCGTATAATATCTACTGAACTTTTGAAATTGGTACACTTTAACCGACAATAACTGTGCTATATCGAAACTGATCAAAAATATGCAAACCGAACTTACCCGTCTTTATACTGCGTGCTCCGTAAACCTATCTAATCGAGAATTTCAAAATAATGCAAAACAACCCAAATTAACCCATTCTTGAAATGCATGCTAGTATCCTTGAACATTTTAATTTTATCTAGCTTGTCGCGCTTGGTTGTCGTTGTTAATCAGTACACTGTATCCAGTTTTAGATAAGTAATTAGGCAATTCAATCCATCTGTCAAAAAGAAAAATTCAATGTGGCGTGGCGGCCAAGCAAGTTTGTTTTGAATATGTTTTATGCGTTTTTTAAATTATTTTGCATACAGTTTTGCTTACAACTTTGATTTTCATTATTTAATAAAATATTTGTTGACTAGGTGCTGAATTACAGAAGCTCTGCAACAGCAAGATACAAATGAAGAACCTTCAAGTCTGACTTTTTGTATTACAGAAGCAGAATGCATTTGCAAGTCGTCTGCAAATTTGCGCATGGCGAAACGGTCCTGTAAATTCTTGCTGTCACTTTGACAACTTTGACATTTCAAACTGGTAAATCAGTAGTGTCCGAACACTTTTTCGACAAATATGACGGACTTGCAGGTTTTTTTCTGTAATTTGCTCGTTCCTGGAAATAGAGCACATCTGCAAGTCGGCCATATTTGCAGAACTGCAAATTTGCAGATGCAAATATACTGTAATTGGGCCCTTAGTACCTAAACTATTAATTCGGGCAGAAATTAGATATTTTTTTGTGTTTTTTGGCTCATGTGTGGCCGCCACGCCATCTTGAATGTCACATGGTTTGAATTGCCTAATTAATATTCAATATCATGATGTTTCCTATCAAAAGTGTCCAAATTGGCCCACCCTGTACATAATTTCAGCACAATAAATAGATATTTACGTGAATTTCACTGGTGAAGGTCACGGTCAAGTTTACGGCCAACGGCCAAGGTCAATTTTTTTTTGGGGAAATTTCTTTCAGCGGCCTTTATATGTATACCAAAAATGAACTCGATTGGACTACGCCTTCTAGCCCATTCCCGAGAGCCCAAACTGAGAATGCGGGGTTGCCGTATCTCTGAATATGTATGACCTTGAAGGCTAAAACTCGGTGTGTGGGTTATTTATGATGCTCTTCGGCGCTATACATAATTTCAGCACGATAAATTGATATTTATGTGAATTTCACTGGTCAAGGTCACGGTCAAGGTCGCGGCTAAGGTCAATTTTTTCTTGGAAAAATTTCTTTCAGCCGCCTTTATATGTATACCAAAAATGAACTCAATCGGAGTATGCTTTCTACCCTGTTCCCGAGAGCCCTAATCATACCCTTTAATTGGTTGCAGTTGCTTGAAACAGCAACGAATTCAGCATTCACTGCATTCAATCTTCTTTGCAGTAGTTAGTTGTAGAAATCCTAATAAATATCTATCTATAAGTCAATGAGAGTATCAAAAAATCTAGTCTCAATTGCCTAAGATCAACTTCAACTTGATCTTAGGGCAGAATAACAAGTATTGTGGTATCATGACCAGAACAATACAAACTCATATAGTACGAGTTGTTTCCGTATGCAACTTCAACTTCTTTGTGTAAATTCCGCCAGACTGTCAAGAATTTTTTTTGATCTATTCTCATAAAGTTGAAATTTTAAAAAACATCAGATCTATTATTTATTTCTGCGATTTTTCACAAGGGCAAAATCCAAATCATAGTTATTTTCACAATGATTGGCAATGCTTCTATCAGAAGATCATAGGATTTCCCCAATAGGTACCTACACTACATTCATGTTTTTTTTTCCCATTCTTTGAACCAATACACACAAAATACTATAATTTGTTAAATTTCAGTATGAATCAACACATAGACCAACTCAATCTCAAAATGAAAAAGCCCCAACTAAAAAACATCCTAGAGAAAAACTTGTAAGAAAACACAAAATTGCATATGTTAACCCTAAAAGGTTAATCAAACGACCTCAGGTGTCTTACATCGACGACCACGAAATAAATGAAGAACTAGCCTCAATGGGCGCTTATACAGACACAAATTTCGATATAATCGACCTCACTACAGATTTGCCCCCAGAAAAACCCCAAAGACCAAAATTAAACAGAAGTGCTCTGACATGGAAAAAAGAAAATGCATCAACATCATTAGAAGTTGACCAAACATCATCAACTAAAAAAACCATTGTACAGGCATTAACCAAAAAAAAGGTCAAAGAACAAACTAAAATTTTAACCTCAGAACAATTGGATCTTCTTAAAAACATAAACGCCCAAGCACAAACTGTAGATGAAAAGTACAAAGTTCTAGATGCCAGGGACAAATTGTTGAGGTCAATAAATAAAATGTCTCAGCTTAAATCGAATGCCACGGTGGGAACTTGCCCAGACATGTGCCCAGAAAAAGAAAGATTATTGAGAGAAATTCAACATCAAGTGTCTATTTATGAGCAAGATAAAGCTGGCAGACATTTTATGGATCATTCAAAAGCAGTCAAACAATACAGTAGAAGTTCTGCTGATCAAGAAGCTCCACTTGCTCATGAGCTACGCTCAGTCAATGTATTGAACATGACCATGACTTATTTGATGTATCGCATAATGGATTTGTCTCAGGATGAATTAGGAGGGAATATAGGTGAATGGTACCATTTTCTTTGGGACAGAACTAGAGGTATAAGAAAGGACATAACACAACAAGCTCTTTGTTGTCAAGGATCTGTTGTATTAGTTCAGCAATGCGCAAGGTTTCACATACATTGCTCAGCAAGGTTTATGGGTGAAGACCCATCAGTTTTTGATCAAAAAATCAATACAGAAAATTTAACTAAATGCTTGCAAACTCTTAAATATATGTATCACGATTTGGAAGTTAAAGGCGAAAAGTGCCCCAACGAAGCTGAATTTAGAGCCTATATAATATTATTGAATCTCAGTGATGGGAATTTTATGTGGGAAGTACAAGAGTTGAGGGAAGACATTAAAAAATCCCCAGAAGTAAGATTTGCGCTTCAAATTTATTCAGCTTTTGAAAAACGAAATTATGTGAGATTTTTTAAACTTATAAAATCAACTACTTATTTGAATTCCTGCATTTTAATGAGGTATTTTGTCCAAGTCCGAGTACAAGCATTAGAAACTCTGGTGAAATGCTTTACACCACCAAAAAGTTTTTCGTTTTATCCTGTTCAAGATTTGGCTCAAATATTGTTTTTTGATGACACAGAATCTGCAATAGATTTCATGAAATCCTATGGTGTAAATGTAAATAGTGATGAGACAAATTTTATGTTGGACAGAAGCTGTTTTATGCCGGAATATTCTTATATGTTGGATAGATCTAGGTTGGTGGACCAAAAAATGACATGTTCATTAGGTATGTTAGAATAGATGAACTAAATTTGCAATATTAATGATTTTTTTTTTTTCAACAGGGGATACAGTAAATGGAGGAAAAATATCTCCTGAAATGTATATGCAAATTCAATCCCATGAAGTATATAATAGTTTTGATAACAATGGTTATCTCATTCAGGATGAAATGTTCAAGGATATTGAGTTGAGCATTGAAAATAGATTACTTGAGGATGAAGTTGATTCTAGGTGAGTTAATCCATTTTTTCCAAGGGGCAAACCACCTATTGTCGTCGTTTTTTATCTGACACTTTCTGTATGAGGGGCCAAGGGGGTGAAGCTTATGGCAAAAACTGGTGGCCATTTGGCGTTCTAATGTAGGGAGCCACCAGCTCAGACTCCTTTGGAGTATCAGATTAAAATCGACAAACTTTAGGAATTTTTTGCCAAAAATGTGGGGAATTTGAAGGAACTCATCGGAATTTATGAGAATTTAGGGAATTTATAGGGAGCTTGGAGAAATTTATGGAGGATTTGGAGAAATTTATGGGGAATTTGGAGGAATTTTTGAGGAATTTAAAGGAAATTGTAGGGTCAGGACGTCACAGGTTCACATTTTTATTATAAGAAACACTAATAATAGGAAATTTAAAATCTAGTTTTGTGTTGGACGTTGGACATTTACTTTTGTTAAAAGAAATTCTCCCAAAATTTCACTTCATGATTTACAGGTCCAAAGAAGGAGGCACGATTTACATTGAAAATAGGCCCCCGTAAAATTCAACCAAATTTCAATATTTTAAAGGTATCATCATTGCAAAAAAAAATTTGAAATATAAAGAGGATCGTATGTCTGTGATAGCAGATCTAGCTTGTCAAAGTACGTAGGTCCTGCTATGGTATGCATAGGAAATATTCTTAGATTTTCTTGAATATCTCGAAAAATACTAGTCCGATTTTGACGTTTTTTGGGTTTGATACCTACAAAAGGACCCCAAAACCGTCAAAAATGGATTAGTATTTTTCGAGATATTCAAGAAAAACTACGTAGAGATATTTCCTCGAATATTTCCTATGCATAGCATAGCAGGACCTACGTACTTTGACAAGCTATATCTGCTATCACAGACATACGATCCTCTTTACATTTCAAATTTTTTTTTACAATGATGATACCTTTAAAATATTGAAATTTACGGGGGCCTATTTTCAATGTAAATCGTGCCTCCTTCTTTAAAAAAATTACCTAAAAGAATAATGAGTACAGTTTTTGTAGGCTGATTACCAAGATTCTTCATGTTGTTATTTTCCACTGGAAAAATTTAAATTTTTTTTGAAAATGAGCTTCTCACATTCTTCTTTACATGCAAAAAGTTTTAGAATTTTTCCTCAATTAGTTTTCCAGGAAAACTTTGAATTGTGTGAGACTGTATTAACAATTATTTCAGTTTTTGTAAGTTGATTTCCAAGATTCCTCATGTTGTTATTTCTCAATGGAGAAATTTGAAATTTTGGGAAAATGAGCTTCTCACCTTCCTCTTTACATACATAAAGTTTCAAATTTTTTCCTTCACTAGTTTTCCAGGAAAACTTTGAAATGTGTGAGACTATATTTTCAATTAATTTAGTTATTGGAGGTTGATTTCCAAGACTCTCCATGTTGTTATTTTTCACTGGAAAAATTTGCAATTTTGGGAAAATGAGCCTCTAACCTTCCTCTTTACATACAAAAAGTTTCAAATTTTTTCCTTCACTAGTTTTCCAGGAAAACTTTGGATTGTGTGAGACTGTATTTTGAATTAATTCAGTTATTGTAGGTTGATTTCCAAGATTCTTCATGTTGTTATTTTCCTCTGGAAAAATTTAAAATTTTGGGAAAATGGGCCTCTAACCTTTCTCTTCACATGCAAAAAGTTTCAAAATTTTCCCTCTACTACATAGTTTCCCAGGAAAACTTTGAAATGTGTGAGACTGTATTTTCAATTTATTTTACCTAGTTATTGGAGGTTGATTTCCAAGATTCTCCATGTTGTTATTTTGCTCTGGAAAAATTTAAAATTTTGGGAAAATCAGCCTCTGACCTTCCTCTTTACATGCAAAAAGTTTCAAAATTTTCCCTCAATTGGTTTTCCAGGAAATCTTTGAATTGTGTGAGACTTTATTAACAATTATTCCAGTTTTTGTAAGTTAGTTTCCATGATTTTTCATGTTGTTATTTTCCAATGGAAATTATGGGAAAATGAGCCTCTAACCTTCCTCTCCACATACAAAAAGTTTCGAATTTTTGCTTTTACTGGTTTTCCAGGAAAACTTTGAATTGTGTGAGACTGTATTTTCAATTAATTCAGTTATTGTAGGCTGATTTCCAAGATTCTTTATGTTGTTTTCTACTGGAAAAATTTTAAATTTTGGGAAAATGAGCCTCTGACCTTTCCCTTTCCATATGAAAAGTTTTAAAATTTTCTTTCAATTAGTTTTCCAGGAAAACTTTGAATTGTGTAAGACTGTATTAACAATTATTTCAGTGTTTGTAAGTTGATTTCCAAGATTCCTCATGTTGTTATTTCGCAATGGAAAAATTTGAAATTTTAGGAAAATGATTTTCTCACTTTCTTCTTTACATGCAAAAAAATTCAAAATTTTTCCTTCACTAGTTTTCCAGGAAAACTTTGAATTGTGTGAGACTGTAATTTCCTTGTTTTTTTCCAATTAGAGAATAATGATGTGTGTTTTAGAGAATCTACTCCAGAAAGAAAAAGCATTGTTACAAATATTTTTGCACAAAAAGCTACACCAGTGAGAAAAGCTGCTTCTCCAAATATATTTATTGCGCCAAAAGAGGAACAAAATATTTTCATTAAGCCATCAAATATTTTTGTACAGCCCAAGCCAGATGCAGGCAATATTTTTCTGCAAAGTAAACCTGATACAAGCAATATTTTTGCGCAAAAGCAGGAGAGTAATATTTTTGCTCCTAAAAAGGAAAAAGTGGATAGTGCAAATATTTTTGTCCAGGAAGCTCCCAGAGAACTTGCAAATATTTTTGCACAGGAAGCACCTGAAAAACCTTCAAACATTTTCGCCAAGGTAATTACTAGTAATACTAGGTATGGATACAGATTGCATTTTTTTTCTCTAGCCAAACATATTTTCTATGGAGACAAAACAGCGGGATCCAAGATTGCAAGGTTCCACAATTAATTTTGGTACCACAATGGAACCTCCAAAAAATATATTTTCAGTTAAGGAACCTTCAGAGCCTCCTAAAAAAGGTGGTTTTTATTTCAACCTCAACAATCCACAAGCACGAAAACCTGAAGAAACTTCTAATATTTTTGCTGGTGGATTAGTATCCAGTAAGTGTTTTTCAAATTTTTCAAAGTTAATATTATTGATATATTTTTTTAAGATTTTGAAAAAGAAAGAGAAGAAAATGAACTAGAAAAATTGGAACTGGAAAGGTCGAGGCTTCAAGAAGAGATCCGACAAGAAATGGCAAGGGAGGAACAAGAAAGGCAGGAGCAAGAATCAATTCAAAGAAAAAATGAGGAAATCAGGCTTAGAAACGAAGAAGCTGCAGAAAGGAGACGTTTGGAGGCTGAAAGACTGAAACATGAAGAAATTGAAAGAAGTAAACGCTTGGAACAAGAGAGAATTGAGCGAGAATGGCAAGCAGAACAAGAAAGGATGGAACAGGCAAGAAGATTGGAAAAAGAAAAACGACGGAGAGAAGAAGAAATAAGAAGACAAGAACTAGAACATAAAAGAATGCAAGCAGAATTGGAGGAGAAACGCAAAAAGGAAGAAGAAAGGCAAAGAAATCTAGAAATTCAAAGAACTGTTACATCAGTTGTCTATAAAATGGTAAGAACAATTTTTTCAAATACAACCTATCAAAATCAAACTTGTACCATCATAGGTTGAAACAGTAGATCTAAAAATCCGCCAAGACACCCTCAATAGGATAAGGCAAAACATAAAACGTAGATTTTTGATAAAAATGTGTGAAAAATGGCGTAGCATGACAATAAAAAGAGTGAAGAAACGTAAAGCCATGGATTGCAATCCTGTATTTGTACACACCAAAAGTGTTACAGAGTGCGCTAGAGGTGTGAAGTCTAAGTCACAGGATTTGGCACTCAGTGAAATAAAGAGGTGAGAAATTGTTTAATGTTTTTCAGGTAGTTTATTTATGTTTTTAGGTTTAAATATGGCAAACCACTTGAAATCCCCATGGTAGTCAAACAAAAAATTGAGAAAATAAATTTATTCCATTTGACTTACTCTGCATTGAGAAGAAGGTTGTGTGAACTTGAAGAAAGATGGCATCAACATATTTATTGGAAAGTTGTCATTTCTTTACCAGGTCAGTGGCAACAAAATATTTTTTCAAATGTAAAACCCACAAATTTTTAGACATAAATGAAATGATAATAGGCCTAAACAAGCTAGAAGAAACCTTGAAAAGTTGCATCCCATGGGAACTGCAGTTATATGGCAACACTGTATATATTGAAGAACACAAAACTATAACTTATTGTGTAGAAAAGCAGCAAGGATTTGATGGTAAAAATCCGGACGCTAATGCTTTTATTATCATTGCTAAAAATTTCAATGAAGTCATGCAAAGGAGGGTATTTGAAAATTTAAAAGACTATGGAGTTTTTGTGAAAGTGCCTTTGGTCGTTATTATGGAGGAAACTGCAAATTCAGCAGAGTATTTTAATAATCTGAAGGATTCAGGGGTTGTGTCTGATTATGTTATTTATAAGTGAGTAAATTCGGTTTTGTTTTCAATTAATTATGGGTTAAATGTATTTTTCAGAAATTCTGTAATTTTTTTAGGTGTAATTTAAATTCTCAAGTTCTTCCAAAGATAATTGAGAGTGGTTTGATTTTCCTATCAAAACACATAGAAAAATATCCACCTCTAGAAATGGACACTTTGAGAGAATTTTTGTGTGAACATCTTTGTACATCAATATGGGAAAAAGCAGGTAGTTTCAATTTGTTCTACTACTAGCAAATATCAAAAGACCAGACATTATTTCATTAATGAATAATTATATTTTAGGTACCTATGCAAAGAAAAACCAAGATTATAACATTTGCATGCGAGATCCCAATATAGTGATAAATTTATATAACCAAGGCCTAAAATTACTAACTGAAATTGTAACTGATAAAAAATGTAGGGAATATGCTAGATTTCCTCAAGAATTTAGAAACCATTTGCCTGATCAAGTGCCTCGCTATTTTCCATGCGATTATAGGTTGGTAAGCCAGCTTCTGTGTATAATTTTGTTGATGACAATAATTTTTAGATACTTTCCGGACTTCATACTAAACCCAGATTACCAGGACCATTTAAAATCTCTAATGAAAACAATGCAATTGCCAATGTTTCTTGAAAAGTGGCCCCCAAATGATGATGAGGATTTAGTAGACAGCCTTTCAAAGTATTGTACAGATTTATTTGAAAATCCAAAAGAGCCTCTAATAGCCCTACTGAATATGTTTAAAAGTAAAAATTTTAATAAAATTATTTGGACTAAAGCCATACAAGTGATTGCTCTGGCAAAACTTAATGAGCAAAATCTGGATTTACCACAATCATTTCAAACAGAGTTTTTTGAAACTTGCATGGTTGTTTACAACATAAACACGATCAACGAATATTCATCTTCAGAATGGTTTTACTGGAAAAACCCTATAATTGACAGTTATAAAAAAATAGTTTCTGAAAAAATACAAGAAGAAATGGAAGAGAGGACACAATCAAAAAAGAGACCGCTAGATTTAAGTTTGGATCCAGAAGATGTGCAAAGTGTTATAAGTAAAGCTGAAAGTGTACTTAGATTGCCAACAAATATTTGTCAAGGAGTCAAAGATGAAATAGATGATTTCAATAGAAGCCTGAAGGATCTAGAAGATTCTATTAATGTAGTGAAAAAGATGGATGAAAGAAAATTGCTGAAACGATTTGTTGAAGATTAAGTATTGTGTAGCAATTATATTATGATTATTGGAAATTTTTATTCCTTTATTAAATGTATTTTTTTTTTAATACATTATTGATTGACTTTTTGATAGGACAAGTTTTTTTTTTACCTGAAAACTTTAAAGTGCCCAAATGGCTTTTAAGGTAACTTTTGTTAGGCGATATCAAGGTTAGATTATTCAAGAAATTACTCTAAGATGCAGACAATATATCAATAAAGTACTTTAATAATTAAAAAACAAGTAATAGAACCAACACAAAAGTCAATAAAAAGTTTATAAAATCTGCCTACTAATACATATTTTATATGAGGCAAAAATCTGTTTTCAATATCACAGGCAGATATAAATCTAATTTTATTAAAGCTTACTAATCCACATTATTTAATCTGTTAACCGTAATATCTGTCCTCCTATTCAATATTTCAACAGCCATCTTAGGACTAAAATTACTCACACCAATTTCCTTTAAAGTTTTACCTCTGGTATCTTCCACACCAGTGGCACCCTCTAAAGCCAGTAAAGTTTCTCTTAGTAAAAGAGCCGATCCTTTTGAGAGATTAAGCAAAGTACAGGACTCGATTAATTGAGTAAAATAATTAGCTGGAGTGTCGGTATAGTCTGCAAATAATGGCAGCAAATTTCTTGTGACATCAAATTTCAGCTGTAAAGCACCACCATCATTAAATCTATTATCCATGACTAAATCCTCAAATAAATATGTGTCTAATTGAGTAGCAATATTCCTCCAGACAATTCTAAATAATTTGGTTTGGAGTTTCTTTTGAAGCTGGTGCAACCTTTTGGCTAAAACTTCAAATATAGGGCAAGCTGCTGGAGTAACAGACAAACTTCTAAACTCCTTTGTTACTTTCATAGAAGTCCACCGCTCCCTTCTATAATCCCATCCTCGTTTTTTTATTTCCATAATAACAGCCTCCACAAGCCCTGATAATAGATCCCGCCTGAAACGTCTGTATAGGGACAAAGTCTCAGCAAATAATGAGTCAGATTCCGAGTCCAGGGTTGTTTCATCAAAATCGTTTAGAAGAGGTGATAGAGGACTGGTGGGAGGCTGTTTTGCTCGATTTTTGTAGTAATATAGTGTCAAAAAATGCTTAAAACAAAAATAATAAGTAGTGAGTTTTGTTGAAAATGCTTTAATACTTACCAACATAGATCCCCAATCAACTAAAACGTTTTCAATATAGTAAAGTGTATTGGCTATTAGGGGTACTTTTGATTCCATATAATCTCCTTCTTCTGCGTTAATTATTTGTAGTAGTCTGAAAATTTTAATTTGAGTTATTGTCGGGGGAAATTAGTTATGTTTCATACAGACCTTATTCTAAAATCGTCCAATAATTCAAGTTGTAATTCTAAAAATTGTAACCTGTGTCCGGGTTGTGGAAGACATTCATATCTGGAGAAAAATTGCACATTAATAAACTTCAAATTAACTTTTCCATATGAAAAAGACTTTGATTAATTAATCCTGAAAGTTTCAAATCACCGTGATCATCAGAAGTAATTTGCAGATTTTAATCATTTTTGCATGTATTAACGTGACAAAAAGCTTCTAAATTTAATTTGGAGCTTCAAATCTACTTCAAATTAACTTTTCCACAAAGATGAAACTTCAATTCGTAAATCCTGAAAGTTTCAAGTCACTATTAGAAGTATTTTGCAGGTTCACAAATGATTATAACTCAATTTACTCATGAAATGTAGGTACTTTCTACTTATTAGTGCAAAATTTCATTCATTTTCAGTGGAATTCAAGTAGGATTGCATATAATTCCAGTGGGATTCTGTAGAATTTCAGTAAGATTACATGGGATTCTGTTGAAAGTGGGATTCCGGTGTACAGGGTGGCCCAAATTCGAGCATCATCATTGGGATCTCGGTGACCGTAAGAGATACGGGGTCGGATAAAGTTTGGCAAAGTTGCGCAATTTTATGACCAATACAATGCCATTTTGAAACTAGAAAGATTCCGAATACTTCCGGAGATATTCGGAAAAAACTGAAATTTTGTAAAATCGTTTTTATTTTTTCCCAGGCTTATTTGAAAAGCAATTTTAAAATAAATATCACTTCATCATTGTCACTTTTTCCCCTTTAGAAGATGGTGCTACTAAATTTAAAGTTCGACATTTCGTCTTCAGGCGGCTCAACTTACGTTTTTTAACTACGGACCTAGATTTTTCATTTGCGATTTTGTCATCTTTGGGCATCCTAAAACCGATACTGTTTATAATTTTTCAATAACACGGTAAAAAAAACAGGTCCGTAGTTAAAAAAAATTTAATTGATGATGATTCCAGAAGAACGAAACGTTGGATTTGAAATTTAATACCACCATCTTGTAGAGAGGAAAAAGTGACAATGGGAATGTGAAATTAGTTTTTCAAAATCTTTTTAAATGGAATCAGGAAAAAATTTAAAGAAAACGAGAAATTCATGTTTTTTTCGTATAGTTTTCATTTTTTCCTGATCTTATTTTAAAAGATTGTGAAAAACTAATTTTACATTTCCATTGTCACTTTTTCTTCTCTACAAAATGGCGTATTAAATTCAAAATCCAACGTTTCGTTCCTCTGGAATCATCATCAATTTATTTTTTTTAAATACGGATCTGCTTTTTTTACTGTGTTTTAAAAAAATTATAAACAGCATCGGCTTTAGGATGCCCAAAGATGACGAAACCGCAAATAAAAAATCCAGGTCCGTATTTAAAAAAAAGAAGTTGAGGATGGCCGCCTGAAGACGAAACGTCGAATTTTTAATAAATAAATAAATAAATTCTTTATTTACGGACATGCCATTTTTACAAAGGTAGACTTAAAGTGTAGGTACACGCAATAATAAATATTTGGAATAACAAGTAGGCAACAGACAAGTTAGTATAAAAAAACAATATTACATAAGCCTAAACAAATATTTTGTAGTAGGTATCAAAACATAAACAACATAATACGCTTAAAATTGAATACAAATAGAAAAAACGATCATTTTAGGATCGACTTTAAAATTCTTTTGAATCTATCCAAACTTATGTTAAAAACATCCAAATCAGTCTTCAAAATAATATCATTCAGAGAACGACAGCTTCTAAGTAAAGGTGAATGGTAACCATAATTGGTTCTACGAAAATCAAGGTTAAACAATGTGTTTCCTCTTAAATTGCTAGATGGTACATGTAAGCCAATTCTAGCAAGTAAGTCTGGAGAATCAATAGAATTATTAACAATCTTAAACAAAGTACACATATCAAAAAACTGTCGCCTCTGGTTCAGATTTTCAAGATTTAGGACAGACATTAACTCATTATAATTTATAGATTCACTTGGGATGCCCAATCGATATGCAATGGATCTTAAAAACTTTTTTTGGATTCGTTCCAAGTGGGAGATGTGCACAGCATAATAAGGGGACCAGACAGGGCAAGCATATTCTACAACTGATCTAACAATTGCACAATAAATGTTTCTTAGGGTGTAGATATTAGTAAATTCTTTTAGTGACCTGAACATAAAGCCTAGTAATTTCATTGCTTTATTAGCAGTTATTTCAATGTGCTCTGTGAAGCTTACATTAGTGTTGAAATAGACTCCCAAGTCTCCAATAGTTTCAACCCTGTTAATCTCCAAATCATTAAGAACGTAATTATGTAAGTAAGGTGTTTTTTTCCGAGAAAAAATTAAGTAGCACCATCTTTTAAAGGGCAAAAAGTGACAATGTTGAAGTGAAATTTATTTTAAAATTGCTCTTCAGATAAGCCCAGGAAAAAATAAAAACAATTTTACAAAATTTCGGTTTTGTCCGAATATCTCCGGAAGTATTCGGAATCTTTCTAGTTTCAAAACGGCACTCTGTTGGTCATAAAATTGTGCAACTTTGCCATAGACACCGTATCTCTTACGGTTACCGAAATCCCAATGATTAGGCTCGAATTTGGGCCACCCTGTACATATTTTTCAAGATGGTTTACCCTTCGATGTTTTCTTATTTTAATAACTTTGGATTTCTGTGTTACGTACAATTTTTATCATTTTATTCCAGTACTCAGTAGCTCCAAATTCAACAAACAATATGCACAATTACCCCAGACATTACCTTTTCGTGATAGTTTGCAATAAAGTTATAAACCCATCCGCACAAGTAGTAATTTTCAAATCCTCCACATCTGACGCCAATAAATCAAAAGCATCAATGGAATTTGGAGAAAGCATTGCATCCATTTTCACTGTGGCATCTAAAATACAACTTCTACATTATTTTTCGTCTCAGTAAATCAACTCTTACATTTTTTCTCCATTATAAGCCACTTGACCAATATAGAACCTTGTGTTAAAACAACCACAATTCCAGGCTGAGGAGCTGGATAGTTATAAACCTCTCTAAGTTCTTTTTCAAAGCCTAGAGCCTCTCCAATTGTGTGTGAATATGAAAAGTCATCATACACCAACTCTGGTAGTCCTAATACTAATTTTTGTGCAGCCAATTGTACTAAACCTCTCATGAATTCACTCTGAAATATTACAATATCAACAATTAGAAAATTGAGTATAATTAAAATTTCAACCTTAGCATCTATATGATGAAATCCAAATTTATCAATGACAGGCTGAATCCAGGCTCCAACATATTCCTTATGGTCCCTGATCCAGCATAAAATTTGTGTAAAATACCATTCTGGCTTATCTGGCCTATTAGTTTTTCTTGTCCCATAAAAATGATAAATGAATCTTTTTTGCAAAGGTTGAATTAGTAGCTCAATGGGTAATGAAGGTGGATGAAAATCAGCTAAAACTCCTTCAGGAACTTTCATAGGAATATTTGCTTCAGGAGGTATTTCAATTTGAAGCAAATATTCAGCTATGAGTTGCAGTTTGGGTACGTTGGATTCAACCGGTGTGACAATACTGAAATTTTCACTTAGGAATGGCCATTTGATTTGTTTCAGTATTTCTTCAAAGTCACTAAAAGATTAGATCAATGTATTTTGACATTAGATTATAGTAAGGTAAAAATTACATTGCCAGTTTTTGTTTGAGTATATTATACCAAAATAATATACTCTCTTTAAGATGGTCCTTTAAATGGGTAACATGGCAATCAGTGAGGAGCCTACAGATTTCTGTGAGGTTTGTGAATAGGGTGACACATTTTTCATCATGTTTTTTGGATACTTGAAGCTGAAGCTCTTCACTATAAATAGAATAATTATTATTGATTTAATGTTTCTTTGAAATGCTTACCATAAATAATGAATCTGTTGCACTACTCTCATATACTGCAATGTAGACTGGTAAGTATAGAGCTTATTGAATCTTTCCTGTAAGTTGGTCCTTACTTCTTCTAGCTCATTGAGGTCCTTTTCAATAGATTCGATAACTTCTTTAGATTGTTTCACAGCGAGTTTGCTTTGGCCTACTATGTTTTCTGCTCTGTTTATTGGTGCCCCTATAATCCCTTGTGAATTTGATGGGTTTAACTGGAAAAATAGTCGATTAAATTCAATACTTTACTGGGATTAACTGCTTACATCCTGTTTTATAAGTAGTTTTTGCTCGGAAAGGTTGTTGTAGATTTCTGTGCATTTCGCAAAATCCAGCAAATCCTTGCCATATTCTTCTTGCAGTTCTTTTAGAAGGGTCTGTTTGTCTTCACTAGAGAGCATCATTGAAGACTAGAGGTAAAAAGTTTATAAAATAAGATAAAAGTGAAAAAAATTCCAATTTTTTTTATAAAAAAAGATTGAGGTTATGTCTTGTTTATGTTGACTATTTTGACTATTTGACGTGTCAGTGGATTCGCCCGTCGAGGTGGGTTGGGCTTGCTCACTCCGTGCACTCCGAGTGACTCTATTCGCACTCCAGCCGTTCGGGTTAAGGTTCGGGTATTACTTTTTACCGTCATTAGCTCTGTTCACTCCACTCCAACTCCGCGCTGAATAAAAGTTGTATTCCTTTCAAGAGTTTGAAACACTCGAGCTACTCGCTCCGGTGTTTAGAAGCCACCGATTTGCAGGGAACAGATGCGTGATGCAACAAACACTTTTCCGAAAGGATTAAGCGCGTGAAGCCCCGGAGCTGTTCCGGAGCTCCTCCTAGGTGTGAAAGGAATACAACTATAGCCGAACCCAGCTGTTGAAAATCGAAAATCATCATTGTGGAGATTTTTTTTTACGTTACGCACCTTTTAGAAGATATAAAATGTCACGCACCAGTGCGTTAAGTAGTTTTTTTACTACTTACCTGAGAAGTAGTCATTATTCCATCAATTTTACTGGGAAAAAATTGAATTTCTCTCCCTAGGTTAATAATGAAAAAATACCTAGGTCAATAATGAAAATGACGTCATGACGCAAGGATATTGTCATAACGTAACAGGTTTCTATTGGTTTAATTTCAGTGTCAAATTGTCAATTTAAAAAAAAAAGCAGGTTCCTGTATGTACATTATAGGAAATTACCATAAGCCGTTGATAGAGGGCAGCACTTCCGACAAGAGAAAATAATTTGAGCACAGGTTTGTGACCAATTAGGTCCCTTTTTTTTTTGGGTCGCGGACATTTCTTGTGTATTTCGTAATAAATTAATTTCAAACAAGATAAATCCTTACAAAGAAATAACAAATGTACCGCAAATACACCACACTTGATCACACCTAACCTTTGACCTAACAGAAACATAACCTTATAAATTCGACAAGTTTTCTGTCAAATTTGTTCCGGTTGCGTTTACACTGATTGACCTCGAACCAAATCCGGACCAAATTTAGTTCGGTACCTCTGTTGGCGCGTACCGAACCAAGAGCGGACCAGCTTAGTCCGCAAGCGTTTACACCGTTCGAACTAAATATTTGGTTCTGATATAGTACGAATTTGGTGCTTGGTCCGCGTACCAAGTTGTCGGTGTAAACTAGGCTATAGTAGATTATACCACGAGTCAATAATGATAGCTATTATTCTCGAGGATTATTACGAACTGAGCCGCGTTAGCGGCGAAGGAGTAACATTCCGAGGGAATAATAGCCATTATTGCGAGTAGTATACTCTACTTTATTTACGACAAATTAATTTATTTGAGATTTTCAATGAACAAATTTCATCCGTCTCATAATTTTCAATACAAAGCCACAAGCACTACACGTTTGACACTGACACTTTTGTGGAATAATGACCATTAATCCCGCTACTCGTCATTAATCCCTGGAGGAATGACATATGTCATTATACTGCCAAAATCAGAAATATAATAAGCACATTACACATTAGTCGTAAATAAAACCTATTTTTTATTTTCTACCAGCAGTAGTAGAAAAAATTCTATATATCCTCGGTAGAGAAAGTCATCGTATACCTCGGTATAATATATAATGACCAACTTTTCTACCTAGGTATATGGTACTATAAAAACACGTCATACCCGGTAAAAACCGCGGGACGTTTTTCAACCCAGTTCCTGAGTGGGGTAATTTAGGCGCACTCTAGGCACGTTAACTCTCGATTTTTAAACGATTCCAACGTAATGCCTCATTCTCAGAATTAAGCTTATAGCTGAATTCTCACTTGCGCGAAATTCGCTCTTTTTTGACATTGCTTCGACAATTTGACGTTTTATGCATGTATCAAACGTCAAATTGTCGAAGCGTCAAAAAAAGAGTGAATTTCGCGCAAGTGAGAATAAGAGGCATAACGCTCCAAGTAAGCACCTGTGAATTTATGAACGGTTTAGAGTTACTCTAGGGTCACTCTCACACCCAGAGTGCTATTACTAAATGCAACCGAACATTGACGCAACCTTGCTGATGCAGTGACGTCACTCGCAGACCTTGCCGACTCGAGAATTGACGAACGTACGTCTTAAGATGAGCTATCGTTACTTCACGATTCCTGTATCAGAGTTCTCGAAATTTTAATAAACGAACGTGAATGAGCCTACACCGAGCAAATTTTTTAAATAAACCAAGGATAAGTTCAAGCTCAGAGAACTACTCAGATCAAAATACCATTCAAATCAAAGGCGAAACGCAAAATAAACAAAAACTACACCTCTTAAAACAGTTTATTGCATATAATTTTTACCAATAAATACAGAATGTAGTTACATTTTCCGTAAATATTGTTTAAATAATGTATAAATAAAAAGAAACATAACAAAAAACATAAAGAATTAATATTTATTCAAAGTTGTAAATAATGAGCAGAGATGCTCTAGCTATGGGTCAAAATTTTTTCTATTCAATATTTGCTTCTAATACAACTTTTGAGTAACCATAATACTAAAATTTCATCCATCATCTACACTCAAAAGAGACTTCTTTAAGCTAAATCTGAAACAGAAAAACAATTAGTTTAAAATACTAAACCCACAACAAAAAAACTTACTGTGGTTGATTTTGCATTGTTGAATAGCCTCGTTGAACCCTTGGCACAAAGTCAAATCAGACTGAGTGGAGGCGCACTGCAAAAATTGCTTGATTTCCCAAGAGCAAGGTCCTGCTGGTTCGTTAGGCTGGGCCCCGTATTGCTGTTGCACTGGAGCAGCTGCTTGCTGTTGCGGAGCTGGGGCAGCTTCACTAGAACCGCCACTGAACAGTCCAGTCATGGCGTGTCCGACAGTGTGTCCAATAGCTGAGCCTACAGCAACACCTCCAGCAGTGGCTGCCATTTGACCAAAAAGTCCTGGGCCTTGGGAGGGTGCTGGTGCGGCTGGGGCAGCTTGCACTGGAGCTGGTGGAGGAGCTGGAGCAGTTCTAGCTGGCAAATTAGACCTAGAACAATATAATGCGTTTTTTAAGAAAAAAGTTTGACCTTTGTACCTATGTTCAATATCGAATAGAAGCAGTTTTGCGAATAAACATTAGTCACGTGTCGATCATGCGATTTATTCATGTAATAAGGGCCCCAATTTTTATTATATTTTGGCTCAAATATTGAATTTAACATTTTTGTAAGCTCCCAAACATAACCTAACTTTCAAATCTTTATCACAAAAATAGTGTACCTTGGTGCTGGGGCTGATCGTCCACGTCTTGCCATTTTTTATCACTTTTTCCTTCGTATATCACAAATAAAAGTAAAATTTTTCGTGAGCGTTTCGTTACGTAAACGTAAAATTAAATTACTCGAGAAGTCGATGCGAATCTCACGATATTTTATTCGAAAATGACGTTTTCCAGAAAATACTGACAGGAACAAGGCTAAAAATAGCTATCTGCGTCGTTGCCAGATACTGACACGTGGAAGAGACAGAGACGGATGATATGACGTAGGTCGGAGAAGGAGGTTGATTGTGACAGCCGAACAGGGCCGGATTAAATAAATAAGTACTAAACATATTTTTGATTTTACAGTTTCGTAAATGTAAATTGAGAATTTCAGTTAAGCGTTAGCGTTAGCGTAGAATGCGTTATATTTATGGGGATATAAGAAGCCACAAAAGATGTTGGTTCAATAATAATAAATAATACCAGACAGAACGTTTATCTATCATTAATCTCAATTTCATTTGACTCCTTCTTAATCTCAATTGACTCTTCCTGAAATTTTGCGCATTCTGAATAACATTTGACTATTCTGAATTGAATTTGACAATTTCTGAAATGCATATTTAACATAATTTAACTGTTTCTCAATTATCAATTGAACACAATTTACATTTAACTACTTAGGAGGAAAATGAAACATTTTTAAATAGTCTGTTTTTAATGTTTTATTACAATTATCTTACCCATCAGCTAAGAATGCTGCTGAGATACATTCATTATTTCAAAACCATTAGGGCAATAACTTAAATATTTCAAATAGGATTAATAGGAAAAAAATCCATACTTTTCCTAATCTTGTGAAATATTTCAGAATAATATAATAATAAATCCTTAGCACGAGTCTGTGCCTATTAATACCTAACAAAAACATCATTAAGTACAAGATTGCCAAAATATTTTTTTTTTAGCTTATCATGTGACTTTGGTTGGAATGAAACATTTTGTTTATTGTACCTACATGTGCAAGATCAAAGTACAAAACATGACGTAGATATTTTGATTAGTCATTATACCAAATAAGTAATAGATTAATGTACACCTCATTTTTTCAAATAAAAGTGTGATTTATGACGTGTTTGATTCATTTGGAAATTATTCGATTCAGAAACTTAAATTTTCAATGGAGATTTTTTGAGATTAATGACCCCGCACACTTCTTATTGGATTTTGGGATTCGGTCAATTTTTCTGAAAATTTGATGTGATGCTATTCTCAACATTCTGATTATATAAGCACAACATGATTATATGACTAGTTTTCGAGATACAGGGTGTTGAAACAGTATTCTTGGAATAACTGAAATTCGCTATAAAAAAACAGGTTTTAGTGCAAAATTATTTTCAAAATATGTTGATTGAAACTTATTATTAGTATTAAACCTAATATTATTCTACTGCACAAATACAGAGTGTCCTAGCCGAACATTTTAATAGCTAACAGGTATCCTCTAAACTAGAAAAGATAAAAGGATGCGGTTTGCACCATTGTTTTTAATTACAAAATTATTTCTAAATAGGTAACGTCATTAGTGTCTGAGATAGAGTAAAGATAATGGGTCTAGGACTTTGGAAATAAAACTCCCTTTTTCAAAAAATTATGCCGACGTTTCGACCATATATTTGGTCTTCTTCGCAGGCTATTTTTACCAGCAAGGGCGTTTGATGATTTTTGACGTCAAACGCCCTTGCTGATAAAAATAGCCTGGTGAAGAAGACCAAATATATGGTCGAAACGTCGGCATAATTTTTTGAAGAAGGGAGTTTTATTTCCAAAGTCCTAAACCCATTATCGCTACTCTATATGTACAGGGTGAGTTACCAAGTGCGCGGTGGTCCATATCTCCTATACTAACGGAGATCGAAGAAAAAACTGAATACAAAACTTTAGGATAAACATGAGTAGGTATTACATTCCTAAATTATTTTCCAGTATACAATTTAGACCAATAACTAGTAGTGACAGAAAGTTATGTTTTTTTTAAATGACGTACTCCCCTGTATATTATGACATTTCTGGATTCTGCGGAAAATTCTAGACATATTTCATGTACAATGTTATATACCCAATGAACTATAACCAAAAACTGGAGTGCGAACACATATTGACGAACGTGAAGCCTAGTGCCACTGCTGCGGAGGTGATACCTGTTTTTGTCGCACTCATTATGTTAAATGGCGAAAATTGCTTCCAACACGTATTCCATTTGATGAAACCTGTGGAGGTAAATATGACAAAACTGTCCAAAACATCATATGTCAGCGAGCAACAGAAAAAAACAACATTCCCCTTTGTGGCATCTGCCTTTCATGGCCTCATTTTTTTGGCAGATATGGCAATGTGTGCGCATTCCAGTTTTTGGCTATAGTTCATTGTATATACCTATCTTCAATTGTTTCGGAAATATTGACAGTTGGAAATTGACTTTTTTGCATCTTTGACAGACTGTAAAACCTGAACGGTTAATTTCACAAGAAAACGGATTTTACATTCCTATCTAAGTTCTTCATAAACTATCATTTGACACCAACCTTGAATTTAATCCATGAGTAAAAATTCCGCCTAAATGATTAATCTTCGGTTAAATTCAAAGTTGGTGTCAAATGATAGCTTATGAAAATCTAAGATGTCTAGAATTTTCCGCAGAATCCAGAAATGTCATAATATACGGGGGGAATCATTTGAAAAAACATAACTTTGATTCATTGCTAGCTATTGGGCCACCCTGTATACTGAAAAATAATTTAGGAGTGTAGTACTCATGTTTATCTACAAGTTTTGTGTTTAGTTTTTTATTCGATCTCCGTTAGTATAGGAGATAATATGGACGACCGCGCGCTTAGTAACTTACCCTGTACAATTTAGTCCGTCACAGAAATCTTTTTAGCTATATACCGAGTGATGATAAAAAATTGAATTTTTATAACTTCAAAAAACTCAGTTTCCAAATTATTGAATACCCCGTATATTTTTACAACGCGAAAAAGCTTTTTTGTAAAGCTTCTCAATAATTAATAGCAGGGATGTGCCGTAGACTATGAAATCTACTTTACGCGGTTTGTCTACCCGTTGTCTACGTATTGTTTACATCCACTTTTTTCCATGTAGACTATGTAAACTATGTAGACTATTGCATTGAATTTATATTGTATCAAATTAGACATTATCTGTAATTAAATTAACTTTACAAAGCAAAAAACAAAACAAAGCAAAAACAGAAACATAACCTTAAAGGCCTGCCAACTGTCAAAAATTGTATATACTTTACGCGTTGTCTACATATTTTACACGTTGTCTACATAGATTACATAGTTTACATTGTCTACGCGTTGTTTACACCAGACGTAGACAATCTTTGTTTACACGTAGATGCCCATCCCTGATTAATAGTTTGATGTCTTTATTTTTAAAACGAAGTTTGGTATGAGCTCTTGAAGACATGCTTGCCAGATGGAATTTTTCATTATCACTAGGTATACTTAATGACATTTATTGGGTAATTTAAAACAATGGTGCCTAGTTTCGAGGATATTTACTTCAGCTATTAAAATGCTTCAGTTTTGGCTGGACCACCCTGTATTTGTGCAGTATAATAATATTAGGTTCATCTAATAGGTTTCAATCAATATACTATTTTGCAAATAATTCTGCACTTGAACGCGTTTTTTATAGAGAATTTCAGTTATTGCAAGAAACTGTTACAATACCCTGTATCTCGAAAACTAGTCATATAGGATCAAGTTGTTCCTATGAACACTTTTAATCAGAATGTTGCGCGTAGTAGTAGCATCATATCAAATTTTCAGAGAAATTGACCGAATCCCAAAACCTCATGAGAAGTGTCCGGGGTCCTTTGAACAAATTCTTGAACCACTGTTTTAACAAATATTGTTTGTTGTCCTTCTGAATAAAAGTTGTATCGCAGCCGCTGAAGCATGAGAAATCATACCATCAATGATGAATATAGTTTTCTGGAATCCAGAATCTGGATCTACATAAAATTGAGAGAGCTATTATTCAAAGCAATCGTTGATCACTTAATCCATATCTTCACCTTCTACCTACCTACAACCATACTCAGAATATTTAGCAACTTTCTCTTACACTAAATCCAAAAGCGTCCTTTCTCTTGTATAGGTAAACATTGATTGACATAAAGTGATATTTATGTTGGAAGTTTGAAAGAAATTTCTCCTGTGATACCGAGACAGTGAATATCACACTGCACCGTTTCCAAGAGTAATTCAAAAAACATCAAATGTAATTCAGAACATTCAACTGAAAATCGAAAAGCATCAAATATAGATAATTCAGATTTAATAGAAGTACCTTATTCAGAAAACATCAATTGTATTTCAGAGTCTGTGAAATGTAATTCAGAAAGTAATAAATGTTATTCAGAAACCATCAATTGTAATTCGGAATTCATCAGAATGTTTAAAAAAAATGTAATACAATAAATACATTTTAGTATTTGTATATGTGGAATTATTTCTCAATTTAATTGAATCGGCCATCGGGGTCCTCTACATTCAATACTTTCTGAACTTGAATAGCATTTGGTGCATTCTGAATTGCATTTGACGCTTTCTTGAATTCATTTGATGTTTTTCCAATTACATTTGAGAAATCTGAATTACATTTGATGCTTTTTGAAATAAATTTGATAAATCCGAATTTCAGTTGGTGCATTCTGAATTTCATTTCACTATTCTGATTTACATTTGATGCTTTCTGAATTACATCTGATACTTTCTGAATTACTCTTGGATACGGTGTAGTAGAAATACATATTATGGAAACCCTATTTCTAACCCAAATTAGCACCAGGCTACTAGACACATAGGTTTCAATAGGACCAGTTTACTCATGTGCCTGCATTTTTCTTACCAAAATTCGTGCATGTTCGGCAGCTCGACTATACATTCGACTCCGACAGCACCGCCTCGTTGTCCTCGTTTCGCTGAGACCGGTTACAAGCTAATTCGCCTTATTACTCCCTATGTGTCTAGAAATTTGTAATTTGGTCCGGTCTATATAGTACAGTACATAGTTTAATCAACAGGATTAATATAATGAATAAAAAAATTCAAATTAAATATCTACTTACGAATTTGGTCTCCTATTATTGGGCGGTGGTTGTCTGCTGGGCTTTGGAGAACGCCATGGCTTAGATGGCGCAGCTTTACTTCTTCCCATTTTTTTTTTTTTTATAACAATTTG